AACTTCCCTGCGATTCGCGGCGAATTAATATCGCAGCTCTGCGTATCATTGGGAAATAACGAGAAATTTAATACGTTTCTGAAAATCCACTATGTGTTACTTCAATGCAACTGCACATATAAGATACAGTATAGATATTAATCTCCCTCGTTCTCTTTTTCTTTTTTAATAAAATTGTTGTTTCTTTAGTTTCAAATTTCACAAGAATATATGTAATCTTCAGTTATACATAAAAACAATTATATTCAATCTACATATAACATATTTTAAATTTCTTGATATGCTTTTAACAATACTTCGGCCAGTTCAAAATTAATTCTTCCTTATCGGAAATGTTACCGTTTATTGTAACTTTGTAATGTTTTGCATTATATCTTTATAATTTAACTTCAAAATTCTATTACAGTAAACTTCGTGTAAAATTAACCGAAAAATATGGTCTGTTATCCATTTGATTCTTCAAAGTTTAGTTCGTAGAAAGTCTCCCGTTTTCTTTTCCCAATCATTTATATAACTCGAAGATTATTGCTTCATTTTCGTTAAGAAAATGTTGACTCCAAATTTTCCAGAAAAATTAAAAAAACGCACTATAATTTTAGGATATATAGTGCGAGCATTTTAAAGATCAGGAACAATGTTGTTCGTAAACGTAAGGCAGAAATGCAGAATAGATTAATGACACTTCACCTTTCGTTCTTCGTCAGCTGTCGACTATTCTTCGATAACGTCGAAAGAACGGACTTCTACGCGAAGTGATTGATTAATAATACACACAACAGTTGTATTTCGCGCATGAAACGAAATGATTTCCGGCAACTGCGGGACCAAACATAACGGATTCTTCACATCGCGGAGTTAAATCGCGGACGATCGCGCCAGCCAGCTTCATATCGACTAATGACGAGCGTGTTTCCTCTCCCGGTATCCTGGCGTTCGCGATATAAAAACGGCTATCAAGGAACGGCGCGGCGTAAGCGAATCTCTCTGCGAACGTATAGTCAAACCGTACGTAGAGCTGACTAATTCTGGCTATCGAGGAAACAGTACGACCATAAGACCGATAAGCGCCATGATTATCATGTTACTATTAATGACTAATGTAAATCATCGCCTACATACAGCTGAACGGGTTCATATAAAAATAAAACGTCCAATCGTGTATGTCCTTGTCTCGCGAGAGATCAATTCGGAAAA